CCATTCTTCCAAAAACACTATACAGATTTAATGCAATTCTGATCAAAATCCCAATGACATTCCTCATAGAAATAGAAAAAGCAATCATGAAATTCATCTGGAAAAATAAGAGAGCCAGAGTAGCTAAAGCAATCCTTAGCAGGAAGAGTGAAGCTGGTGGCATCACTATACCAGACCTTTAACTATATACTACAGAGCAACAGTAACAAAAACAGCATGGTATTGGCACCAAAACAGACCAGTACACCAATGGTACAGAATAAAGGACAGAGAGACTGACCCACAAACTGCAATTATCTTATATTAGACAAAGGTGCCAAGAACACGCATTGGAGAAAAGATAGCCTCTTCAATGAATGGTGCTGGGAAAACTGGAAATCCATATGCAACAAAATGAAATTAAATCCCCATCTCTCACCTTGCACAAAACTCAACTCAAAATGGATCAAGGACTTAGGAATACAACCAGAGACCCTGTGTCTAATAGAAGAAAAAGTAGGCCCTAATCTCCATCATGTGGGATTAGGCCCCAACCTCCTTAATAAGGTGTAAGAATTAAAATCAAGAATCAATAAATAGGATGGACCCAAACTAAAAAGTTTCTTCTTGGCAAAAGAAACATTCTGTGATGTAAATAGACAGCCTACATCTAGGGAGCAAATCTTTACCCCTCACACATCAGATAGAGCACTAATCTCTAGGGTATATAAGGAACTCAAAAAGCTAAACACCAAAAAAAACAAATAACCCAATAAATGGGCCAAGGACCTGAAGAGACACTTCTCAGAAGATGATGTACAATCAATCAACAAATACATGAAAAAATGTTCATCATCACTAGCAATTAGAGAAATGCAAATCAAAACCACTCTTAAGATTTCATCTCATTCCAGTCAGAATGGCAGCTATTATGCACTCAAACAACAATAAGTGTTAGCGAAGATGTGGGGAAAAAGGTACACTCATACCCTGCTGATAGGACTGCAAACTGGTGTAGCCAATATGGAAAGCAGTATGAAGATTTCTTGGAAAATTGGGAATGGAACCACCATATGAGCCAGCTATTCCTCTCCTCAGTCTATACCCAAAAAATTTAAAAACAGCATATTACAGGGACACAGCCACATCAATGTTTATAGTACCACAATTCACAATAGCTAAACTGTGGAACCAACCTAGATGCCCTTTAATAGGATAAAAGAAATGTGGCATATATAAACAATGGAATGTTACTTAGCAATAAAAGAGAATAAAATCATGGCATTTGCATATAAATGGATAAAGTTAGAGAAGATAATGCTAAGTGAAGTTAGCCAATCCCAAAAAAACAAATGCCAAATGTTTTCTTTGATATAAGGAGGCTGATTCATATTGGGATAGGGAGTGAGAGCATGGGAGGAATAGATGAACTCTAGATAGGGCAGAGGGTTTGGAGAGGAAGGGAGGGGTATGGAGTTATTAATGAATGTGGAATGGGATGTTCATTATTATCCAAAGTACAGGTATGAAGGCACAAATTGGTGTCAATATACTGTGTCTACAGAGATATGAAAAATTGTGCTCTATATGTGTAATTAGATTGTAATACATTCTGCTGTGATATATAAATTAAAAAAAATAAGGGAAAAGATATAAAACCACCCTGGATAATCATGCCAGGTCTAGGTAATCAAGAAATAAACTGGAAATCATGTTTTAAAAGTTTTGTAACCAGCATAGCAAATGGAAATTTTGAAAGAAATCATAAGTAGGTAACAACAGAGATCACTCCATAAGGAGGTGACAACATAATCAAGATACCTAATAGTTCAATTTAAGAAATGTAAACAAACCAACAAATTCATTAAATAGAACAGTACAGTACACTACTAAATTACATAAATAGGAGGCCATTAGTTTTAGGCTATGTCACTATGCTGAGTTCCCAGTAACAAACTGCAATCTAATACATAAACAAATTGAAACCTAATTTAGGTGTGTGCATGTGTGTGAATGTGTGTAAAAAATGCTATGAACTGATGAAACCTATTCAAGAGCATATTTGTTTTTTAACAAAGCGCCAAACTTCAGCCAATCACAGGCAGTCAACTCATCACACCACACCCAAATAAGAGAAACGCATCATCACACTATGCCCAAACAAGGCAGAAGCTTAGCTGTAGCCTATCATATAATTTCTCTACTCTGCTTCCTATTCAGCCTATACAACAAGCTTGCTGCTTCTACTGCTGGATGGAATGCCTGAACCCTTTCTGGTTCTATGTACTGCCTAATTTGCGAAATGTTCTTTGCTGTTACAAAGTTCAATTTGTTCAAATTTTTGCTTTTAACATTTTATTTCTTCTTAAAGTTGTCTTGGGGTAGTTGGTAGAATAAAGTTACAGAGCTCTCAGAGGAAAAGCTATATACCTATTCATCATAGAAAAAAAATCTACTAGCATTAAGACTGTAACAAATTATAGGGTCAGTTTCTCCAAATTACCAACACAGCTAATATTTTTATTTAAAAGGTTTTAGATACCACCTCTATAATTTGTAGGTTTTCAATAATTATTGGTTGAATTTATTTAAGATGCTGGTCAAATTAAAAGGAATTAATGATCAGATAGTTCAAGAATCTTGGCTCAAATTATAAATTTGAGGAGAGCAAAAACTATAACCTGATGAAAAGCTACAATTAGTTTCAAACAGGATTTATGAAGAATCTCTCTAGTCTAAAAATCCAAGCTTCCATTTTTAAATGACACAATTGGGATTATCTATTCAGAACAACTGGGATTTGCTGGTCATTTTTATGTAAAACTCAGAAAGGAGAGTCTGGAACTTTAGGTGGTTGTTCTACATTGTTTTACATGGAAAATACAGAGTTATATTAGAGACAATGATGATACAGAGTATATAAAGATTCACTAAGAAGCAATTAAGGGCCAGATAATTTTTTGCCTCATTTGATGCTTAAAATTCTGTTAAACAGGCATTATCTCCAGTAATACATGCAGAGAAGGAAAAGGATAAGAGAAAGTACTGCTGTGTTGCAATAAGAGGCAGATATAGCTTAACAAATACTGACTAAACTCTAGGCCCAGTGATCTCTGTACCCTCTCCATCTGTACAATTTTTGTTCAGGAATATTAGTTTGGAAAAAGGGCCATCCAAAAGCAGTGCCAACATCTAAGGGCAGGTTAGATTAAATGATGATGCTAGAAGGGAAGAGAATCTCCTCTTAAGCTAATGGATTAACTGAATCAAGAATCATAAAATCTAGATCCATGCTTACCAACCAACAGGCAGTTTATCTGCCTTCTTTCTTGAGACTGCAATTACTTTTGCTGCAGCTATACTACTTCATAAAAACCAGTCATTTACACATGCAGAGGTAAACTAGAAATAAAAAAAAAAACCAAAAACATCTAGAGAGTCTTTATAGGCCCTTTGATAGGCAACTTTGCAGGTAGGAAAGGGCACACGTCTTCTGGAAAAAATATTTACTTCCTTCTCTTTAACATAACAATATGAATATTACAATTAAAAGGCACAGTTTTTGATATGGGCATGGTGGCATATTATTAGGTTTATAATTCCAGTAACACAGAAGGCTGAGGCAGGAGGTTTGCAAGTTCAGGGACAGCCACAGCTCAAATTAGTGAGATCCTCAGCAACTCAGCAAGGCCCTATCTCGGAATTAAAAATAAATAAATAAATGAGGACCGAAGATATAGCTCAATGGTAAAGCACCCCAGCGCTGGGTTCAACTGCAGTACCAAAAAAAGGCAGTCTTTTAACTTATCAAGATTATATTTAATATCATAATTTCACATTAAAAAAGCAAAAATATCTCATGTGTTATATATAAAATATACCAAATACTGCTATAAATTCTATTTTTTAATCACAAATTAGAAATAAAATATTTTCTATTAATTAAATATGCCACAGAAAGGTAAAATCATACACAATCATATTCTAGTCATTCAAAACTTTTATCAGAGTATATAAACTAGATCCTAATCTACAAAATATCCAAAGTCAATACCTTGAATTATACTAGGAAATAGATGTAATATTTGAAGAGTACTACTGATTTATTTTGCAATTATCTGGTTCAAGAAGGGTATGGCTCTAACAGCAAAAACTAAAATCAAGAACTCCAGAGAGAAACAGAGAAAAAACAGAGATAAGGAGAAAGGGGGGGAGAGAAGAAGAGAAAGAAGGGAAGGAAGAAGGAAAATGAGAAAAGTGATAGAGAAAAGGGAAAAAAGCAACACATGGGGATAGGAGGGAAGGATTTCAGAGAAAATAATCAGAAAATTAACTAAAGACAAAAACCACAGTGAAACAAATGATTAAGATAGATAAGTGGCTAATAGCCAAAAGAAGATAATACACTTAGTGATTTTTCAAAATGAAGATTACCTACAATTTGTAGCTCATTTAATATTAAGATACTATGACTAAAAGAAATAGTCCTGAACTATCAAGGCAAAGAAATAGGAAAAGGGTCTCTGGCCCATAGGTAGTCATTATATTTTTTATAGCTTCTAAAATTAAATTTACTGAAAATGAACATAACACTTTCAGACCCACCAAAAACAAGTATATATCTTACTATCCTTTCATGAGGTGCAGTCTTATGTCTTTTAACAAGCAGGAAAATTAATTCTAAGCAAATATAACACCAAAGCTAGAATTAAAAACTGAATGGTTCATTAAACATAAGCTCACAGATGTAACCAAAGGACTGGCTAAAAATTTAACAGAAGAAGCAGATAGCTGGTCCAATAATACCACATGAGAATTTCTCAGATGTTTTACTTCCCCAGGGTGCCTTGGCTTCAAAATGTTAATACATCAACTGTCTAACTTTACCAAAGTAGACCTAAAGCCTATCTTTGCTCTAAGCTAGTAATAAATTCAGAATAACTGAGACACCAAAGTGGAGAGCCACATGTTTTGGTACAACTGAATTTGTAATTAGTTGGAAAAAAAGGTGTTACACTTACTCATACCACTGTTTATTGTGTTTTCGGTAAAGCAACGTATCCAAGGCAACAGCATTGACATCCAGAGCTCCTGGGGAAGGCCACTGGTTGGTGAGGTGGGCAGTTAACTCTTGTCTTGATCTTAAATCATTATTCTTTAGCACAGTCCTGTGAATATTAAGATGGTGAGTGCTTTTGTCTTCACTGTTACAATGGCAGAGGAACCTAATGATATCAATTTAGGTCCCCAAAATTCATCTTTTAAAAGTGGTATGTTAATAGATTGTGAACAAAACTACAGCAAGACTGGCTGGGACTATGGCTGTTTTGTCTTCTGCAGTATATGCTTTATTTTCTTTCTCTGCTGATTACAATAAATCACTACTATTGAAACTCAGACTTTCTATATTTTCCACAGAGATTATTACTAAAAGACTAAAGGACCAAAGAAGCATTTTACATCATAACTAAAATACAATGGTGATAGCCTAAAGATACAAGCTATTTGGTGCCATTTAAAACATTTAAGATTTCAAGTGTATGATTTTTCTGGCTTCAAAACTCAGAAACGACCTCCAAAAGTAATTTAACTCAAATAAGCAAAAAGCAATTAAAATGAATTTTAGAAGAAAGGTTGCAGGGCTGGGTATATAGAGTTGGTAGAGCATTTGCCTCGCATGCACAAAGCCCTGGGTTCAATCCTCAGCACCACCACCAAAAAAAAAAAAGAAAAAGAAAAAGAAAAAAAAAAGAAAGGGTACAGAAAAATACAAAATAAAAAATCCATGAGATTCCCATAACTGTTTTTGATGGATATAAATCTTCATGAATTTGATTAAACCAGTGACAGCTGCAGTGAACAATATAAGCCACTGGACATATTCCAACTACAGAATAAAGCCATCATAACAATTTGTGGTTTTATTTTTTGTTTGTTTCCTTCCTTTAATTTTTGTAGAAATGTTATTGTGAATAACAACTTACAAAACAATTATCTTTTTGCTAAAATTTCAACTGTATGAACCAAGTGATCATCTTCATGAAACAAATTCAACGTTTAAGTTTATGGTTAAAGAAGATTTAAAAGTAGAGATCTGCTGTATGTCTACAGAGCCTTAAAAATTATCTTGGCAATGCACATCCTCAGACAGGAGTCCATGACCTTAGTGTGCCAAGGTTTGGAACCATCAAGTCAGAAGCAAGGAAGTCATTTGTGTTTGCCAACAACTTCTACAGACAATAGTCCTGTGTTGGGAGGCAAGAGAGGGGAGGAAATGAGGTACTAACAGAACAATCCTGCACTTAGGAAAATCAACCGGCATATCCCCTCTAACTTAACAGTGATTCTAAAAGAATTACCATTTTTACATGTCTCAACCAGGCCATAGGCAAATATTTAGGATTTTTCACAATCTGTATATGTTGAAAAATAGTTGTCCTATAATGTCCACAAAAAAACATCTAATATAAGCACTAGACTCTCAAAATGTAATAAGTAAAATAGGCAAAGTCAGTGATAATGTATCCCATGAAGATAATCTTTTTGGTTAGTTGTGACAATTTCCTTGTACTAGAATATAAATGAAAAATTCAGAAAAGATCTTTAAAGGTATTTTAACCGTGTTTTTAAAATGAAAACAGCAAAGTTTTAAAGTAATTTTAAGATTGATATAGAAATCATGTAAAGCAGAACTGAGGATTATTGGCAAGATAACCTATTATAATAAACTATCATTATTTTTGGTTTTCTTAGTAGATTTTTCTCTTACATATTCCCTTTCTTGGGGTTTCTAGTGAACATCATCACTAGAAAACTCAACTTCAAAGTCCTAACTGAGCAGGATGTGAGACAAGCAAATGTGCATGTGTGAGGTAAGGACACTGGTAGAACTCTTGTTAATAAGCAACTGAACAATTTCTAATATATAAAATATTCTTTCTGAAAAATTGAGAAATTTTACACCTCATAAAATAGAAGAAAAAACTAAAATTTCACCAAAGTTTTTTCACAACACTTGTCCATAGAGAATTTTTGCCTAATGACAGGTTAAGGTATGTCTTTAGACCTCTGTTCTTAGAAATCCTGTTTTCTATGGACAGTTGTCCGATCCTCTGAAACAGGAGATGAGACATTTCAGTGCACAGGATAGGTGTAGTTTCTGTTCATCTTTTTTCCTTCTTTTGTGAGGAATCTGGAGACAGGAAATCCGGGCACTTGCCTTGCCACTATGAAGAGGAAGTGTTCCTGGAGAATCCTTGCATAAGGCCCTTTCTTTCACCACTCCTGTATACTCCAGTACACTATGGGACAGGCAAATGAATTAAGTTAGGTTGAAAAATCCCATCCCTGGATTTTATCTTGACTAGAGCTAGTAAAAGGACAGTAATTCATTCACTTGAGCAGTGGGGCTCTGACCAGAGTGTCTGAGCATAGAGACCTCCCCATAGTCCCTATTTCTAGCCCCTGGGAGTAGCTTTTCCTTCCAGACTTATTTCTCCAGTCATTTATCTATTCTGTGAGTTGCTGATATCTTTTTAAAGAATTCTACTTGTACTAAAGAGTTGATTGTGATTGGCTGGAATCAAAGAATCCTACCACTTACCTTAGAACCAGGAAAATATACTCTTTGAATATCAAGACCTATTCAAACTGATTCAAATAACCCTAATATGAGGCTGACGATATTTTTCTTATTTGTTCCAGCTTATAATGGATTTACTTTAAATTACTCAACAATTGTTATCACATAATGGTATTAAGTCAGTGGTAAAGGTAAAAATATATAATGTTTAGCATTTTACTTTAATTGAAACTCTAACTGAAGTTAGTCAGCAACTCTAAAAACATGGAACTATTCTATATGTGATAGATTCTACTAATCATTCATCTATGATATAAATCATAGATTTACTATTCTCTCATTGAGGTAAAGATTCTACAGAAAGTTCCACTCAAGGAAAATTGTTTAATTGCCTAAGAAAGTAATAATAATACAGTCATCACAGTTAATTTTAATAACTTTCATGTGGTATGTACCTCTAAATTTCTAGTAATTAATTTCTTTTTAGATTCTCAAGATAAATTATTCAGGAATTTGGTCCCTCAAAAAAACATAATTGACTTTTCAAAAACAATTTAAAGAAAGATTTTATGGATTTTAAGCTAGATATAACTCCATCAAGTCTTTCTTTGAGGCAGTTTCTGACACTTTTAATGCTAAAATAGAGCTCAGAGTAAGTTGCAAGGCTGCCTTATTAGCGATAATGATTAAAAACTCAGGTTTATTTATATGCCCAAAATATATCATCTCCTTGCCTTTACTCCTCCACCATTAATAATATCCCTACTATATTCCAAAGGATCCAAACTCTATCCATCTCTCAAGATCCATTTAATTTTCAACCTCTTACATAAAGACCTTCAGACCACAGTGATACCACCTTTATTGCTTTGCAGTCTCATAAAATTTAATAATCAATTATTTTAAGGTAGGAGTGTAGATATATGGTAGAACACTTGCTTAGCATGCATCAGTGTCTATCCCAGCATGAAAATACAAACAAAAAATAAAAAATAAATTATTCTAATGATTTAGTCTGTCCTTTGGTTCTTCTCCTTTGATTATGAGCTACTTTGGAATAGCAGCTTTATTTAATATTTATTTATTGAGATGATTAACATAATATTAAGAGTCTTCTAAAAATATTTGTAACTTTGGGCTGGGGGTATGGCTCAGTGATGCAGTACTTGCCTGGCAGGCATAGGGCCCCTGGTTTGAACCCCAGCACCAAAAAAATACAAATCAATTAAAAATCTACTTACTAAAATTTATTAAAGAATCAGCAGATTTTCTAACAAAGAAGAAAACTGGTAAACAGTATTGTATTGCCTCTATATACAATTCACATGACCACTCAATGAAAACCATTTATTTCAGCTTGACATTTCCCATGGATTCCATCTGACTTTGTTTTTGTTTGTTTTAGTACTGGGGATTAAATCCAGGAGTGCTTTACCACTGAGCTACATCCCCAGTCCTTTTTATTTTTCACTTTGAGAGAGGGTCTTGCTAAGTAACTGAGGGTCTTGCTAAATTGTTGAGGCTGACCTTGAACTTGCCACCCTTCTGCCTCAGTCTCCTGAGTCACTGATTATAGGCTGGCTGACTTTGTATACACCACTTCATAATAAAAGTTAAGATCAAGGGCTCTAGATTAGTGGTAGTACCACCCCTCAGTTATGTGGCTTTGAGTTTTTAATCTGAGAATCCGCATCTCTGGATGACAACTACCTACCTCATGAAATTATTATAAAGGTTATTAAATTAGTTAAAACATACAAAGTACTTTAGAGTGGTGTATTACTTTTTTTCAGTACTTAATCACAATTTAAAAGGCTTTTATGTTTAATTTTCTATACTTGGGATTAAACTCAAGGTAGTTCTACCACTGAGTTACATCCGCAGACTTTTTATTTTTGAGACAGGGTCTCACCAAGTTGCTGAGGGGGACCTCAAATTTACAATCCTCCTCTTTAAACTCCCAAGTTGTTTGTTTCTCTTTCGTGGCTCCTTTCCATCCACTTGGTCCTTTAAATGGTGTTCTCAACAACTCCCACCAATTTGTTCTCAAAGTCTTCAGTTTCTCTAGAAATACAGAGTACTCTGGCTTTAAAAATGAGATCCTACATTCTTCTGAGTCCACAACACTATGCTCACTATTTAAATGAAAGAAAATAAAATATTTCCACAATTTGGTCTCTTCTCTTTCTTTTAGAAAGTAGGCTTTTATCTATAGTTATTAAGCCCTCTTAAAAGATCTAGAAATCTATACTCTAGACTTTGATAATATCCCTTAGAGCAATTGTGTCCCTCATAATGAGTGTTTTGGAAACCTCATTCCAAATGCAACATTGTTTTGAAGTGGAATCTAATGAGAGGTAATTTAGGTCATGAGGGTTCCTCCCTCCTAGATTAATGGATGAATCCACTCATCGATTACTCAAAGTGCTCGGGGCTTTGAGTTAGGTCTCTTGTTTGCTCTCACTCTCTTGTTCTTTTGCCTTCCTTCATGGGATGACACAGCAGGAAGGCTCTGGAAAAATGCCTCTGCTGTGCTCTTTGATTTCGAAGTCTCCAGAACTGTGGGCCAAATAAATCTCTGTTCTT